TGTAGAACCATTCCCCGTGCCACCCCCGATTGGAATCACAGGGGGTGTACGCGGGGTACAAGCCTGACGCGCTCGGTTTCTTCTGCAGCGCGAAGCCCCCCACCAGCGCGATCCTAGGTGACCTCCCCTCCGACAAAGCTCACCCAGAGCAGATCCACTAGAAGAAGTCCACGTGTGGCTCCATCCTGAGGAAGGCCTCGCACACGGTGACGAAACCGGCGATATGCAACACCCCAGTCGGGTTGAGGTGCTGCAGCTCTAGGCCCCACTCATTAAGGAGCCCGCGTAGGAACCAGTGTGCGGGGTATCCTAACCTACGCTCATGGAAGGCGAGAAAGGAGACAACCTCGCTGGCTCGAGGCCATGGGAAATCCTCCCCCGTAGGAGCCCACCATTGCGCCACCTCCTTCGGTGGCAGCACCCCCTTCTCGGTGAAGGCGGCCAGCACCGACTCGCTCACACAAGACGACCTCTAGCTCGACATTGTGCCCTGGATTCATGAACGGATCTATGAGTCTCTCCTCTCCCTCGCTCTCCCCTTCTTTTCCTAGGAACCACCGCGGCAGACAAACGCCCTTGGCAAGAAGGAAGAAGGAGGAGAGGTGGCAGTTAGGGAATATGCGAAGGAATGGGACAAAAGCCCTCTCCCTTCCCCTATTTAAGAAGAGGCACAACAGTTGAGGAAAGGCAAAGGATTGGGGTGAGAAACCCTCTCCCTTCCCCCATTCAATGCGGATGGGATATGACAGGACGCGCCCTGACCGATGGGATGCACCCTGCCCGACGAGACGACGCCTGGTTAGATGGGACGTGTCTTGGGTATGGCTCACCACTACCACACGTCGGGCACGGGAAACAAGGTGCAACTGCGCGTAGGCAGCCTTTCGCCTTCCCAGGCAAGACTTGGAAAGGCCCAACAATGGGATCTCCACCTAGAAGAGACCAATGGGTTTCCTGAGTCGATTAGACGGCTCAAGCGAACGCCGAGAGATAGGTAAGGAGCAGAGGGACGCCCCATGCGGGCCACACCGACTCCATCATGAACGACGAGCTCGGATCCTGTTCGGACATATCCGATAAAAACTCCTCAATCCTATCACTCAGGTCAACAAGGTAACTCTACCGATCCCTCTTACGTTATTTCTTCTGATGTGTGATCATTCATTCATCTATTCGCATACACACATTCACACATTCATTCATATAGTCATTCATTCATCCCATACATCCGAAGCATCGCATATGCAATTGATGCTTCGTGTTACGTTATAAAGCGGCAGTTGCCTCATTCAACATGAGCAAAGATCGATCAGGGTTCGATGGCCGGCCCACGAAGGGCTCGAGGCCGCCTCGCGTCAAACAAAGCCAGGGGAGAAAACACAGATGAGCCCCAGCGGCCCTCGCCTAGTCTGCTCCAAAGCAGACAGAGTCATCTCAACCTTCTCATTTGATCCTAACCTCAAGCCATGCCCACAGAATCTCCATCGAGGGGAGGCCAGCGGGCCACCTGGGTCGGTCTTTGGAACGACCCAGGCATCTGCCGGGACATAGGTTAAGGAGCAGTGGAATGCCACATGAGGGCTATGCCGACCCCGTCATGAACAACAGACCCAGATTCCACTTGGACGTACCCGTTAGTGAGCTCACCAAGCACGTCACTCGAGCCATCGAGGCAAGCGACATTAGCTCAGCCCCTCCAGTTGCAGAAACTGTGGATGGGGTAACGCACGAAACTCAACTGATCGCTGCCGAGCCCAATAGGGCTTAGGACACCCAACGCCTCGACTGCGCCTAGTGCCCGACGCTTGGATTCGTGACTCCGACTCGCCCGATCCCTCGGCGCGTCCGACGCCTAGATCCGAGACTCCGACTCGCCCGATCCCTTAGCACGTCTGACGCCAAGATCCACGACTCCGACTCTCACTCGCCTGATCCCTCGTCGTGTCTGACGCCTAGATCCGCGACTTCGACTCACCCGATCCCTCGGCGCGTCCGATGCCTTGTTTGGCGACTTCGACTCGCCTGATCCCTGGATCTGCGACTCTGACTCGCCCGAACCCTCGGTGCACCCGACGTCGTGGATTATGGCTCCGTCTCATCCAGTCCCTCAACCACGACCAAACGCCTAGGACCGCGCTCCTGGAAATGATGGGTCAGAAACTGGAAAGAGGAGGCTACGCCCACCAAGGCGCGCACACACGCCCGCTGACAAAACCCCCCAGGCGATTCTGCCCGAATCGCCCAGGGGCTCGGGGGCTACACCCGCGGCTGCGCTCGCGCGCAGCCGCTGTCGAAACAAAGAATTCCCCCACTGCTAAGATGAAAAACCCCCCAGACGATTCTACCCGAATTGCTCGGGGGCTCGGGGGCTACACCCGCGGGTGCGCTCGCGCGCACCCGCCGTCAAGACAAAAATCCCCCAGACGATTCTACCCGAATCGCCCGGGGTCTCGAGGGCTCCTATCGGGTTCATAAACCGGGGTCCCTCATGGATCTACTTTCCAGCAAAAGCTCGGCCCAGCAGACGGCGTTGCGAACGACGCGCAACTCCTGGACCGGCCCAAAAACCTAACGACAGGCCAGAAGGGCGATCCAATCTCTGACCAAAAGGCCTGGTCAAAGAAGGACAATGCTCACTTCCGACTCTGTCCCGCCTCTCCGACCGAAAGGCCTAGCCAAGGAGGAACGATGATCGCTTCCGACTCTGTTCCGCCTCTCCGACCGGAAGGCCTGGCCAAATAGGAACAACGCTCGTTTCTAACTCCGATCCACGTCTCCGACCGGGGATGCACCGGGTCTCTGCTTACAGCTCTTCTCCGACTGGCACAGTCGAAGCTGACTAGGACTAACCGACCGGGGATGCCTGCTCGGTGAGGACCCGGGAAACGGGCAGAGTAAGAAAGGTAGGGCGCTCAAGTCAAACCGTAATACCAAGGACCATACCCTGTACACTTGCAGGACAGTACCGACAGGGCATGTCAGAAGGGTGCCCTGCAATCTTCCAGGCATGTCAGAATCTAAGCAGTGTTGTGGGCGCCAACGTTTACCCTATAGTGTTGTGGGCGCCATCAATTCCCATACCAGGCGAACACGGTAAAACTCCCCATATGCCTCTAGGCATCAACAGTGTTATGGGCGCCGTCATTTGCCATACATGGTGAACACGGTAAAACCACCCACATGCGTCTGACATAAACAGTGTTATGGGCGCCTACAATCATGTTGTATCCGACGACGTGGGCAACAAGACTTAGTAGCATATGTACTCTCTCTCTCACTTGTAAGGCCGTCCCCTTTATCTATAAAACAGGATGCGCTCTCTCCCAATACAGGGACTCCGACAATTCGACCACCAGGACGATCAATTCACAGAGTCAAACAACCAATGACCGATTCACCCTCTGCTAGCTTTATACACTCTAAAGCTACACAGAGCACAGGCTCGAATACTTAGCACACGTAGGAGCTTCCGTCACTCTCAGTCCTTCGGTCCAGAGTTCGACCGGACCTCTTGCACCCCTCATCTTACTTCCTTCCGTTTGTAACCTCACAACAAACTTCGAGCAGCTAGGCTCAGGAATAAAGTCACCGACCGACTCAAACTGGACATTGGGCACGTTGCTTGAACCAGTATAAACCCTGTGTCATTGAGTGCTAGGCCACATCCGATCACAACGTACGGCAAAACTATAAATATTTATGTGTTGGTCACTTTCTGCACTGACACAGAGCTACAACAAAAAAAATTGTACTAAAGCATATTATATTATATGTTCACTGTGTAGATCTACTCATGTAGAGTCCAACAAAATTAGAATTTTCTGTAATTTACTATGATTTTTTAAAGATTCAGCCAAAATAAATAAAAAAGATAAAGATAAAACCGCCTTTAAAAACCGCTTATAACCGGTCAGAGGTAAAATGAACGGTTTTAAAAGTTCAGGGAGGTGGTTTACCTGGTTTTAGAGTTTCAGGGAGAAAAAACGGACTTTCACAAAAGTTGAAGAAGGCAATGTGGACTTTTTCAAAAAAAAAACATTCTACCTCCCTGAACTACATCTTAGTCTGAGATTTCTTTTTTCTCAAACTCCAAAACCAGACACTTTACCCTTGAACTTTCAAAACCTTTCAAATTACCTACTGTGGTTTTGAAGATAGTTTTATCTTTCTTCCAAGTTAAAAAATGGTAAATACTTGATAGGGTTTTGAAACCATAGAAAATATCTCTAAACTTTCAAAAATTCCCAAAAAATCCTGAAGATAGATTGGGATACTCCAAATTCAATAATTTTTAGCTCATGAAAATATCTCTAGATACTTCAAAATCGATTTAGCTCTACAAAAATGGAATAATATCCCAAAAATCTTAGAAATTCCCAAGTTATAATCATTGTATTTGTACATGTGTATGTAACAAATGCCACTCAAGCTACATATATGCAAGTCATCCAACCCTAAAGGGTTGTGAGGTGTTTTTTCTCAATCTCTATCACTAATTATTTCGAGAAAAAAAATAATACAGTTATTATACAGGCCATTCAGGCTACATATATGTTACTCACCCAACCCTAAAGGGTAAAGGGTGTGAGGTGTTTTTTCTCAATCTCTATCGCTGATAATTTCGAAAAAAAATGATATGGTTATCGTTCGAGGGTTCCAATTTTTCCTTACAAGTAACATATGGAGATTCCTTTAAAAATAACAAACATAAAGAGATCAGACCATGTGCACAGAGATTTGGTTGCTTGATGCGCTCATTTTGGCACCTTGTTAAGTTTTACAGGCATCGTTGAGCACGAATTTTTGCGAACTCTCACATCCATGATTGTACATATAACAGATAAAATTATCGATGCTAACCAGGTCCATCCAACTCTCTGTTTTGATTGATATACTTAACAAATACTCTTATTAGTCACTGCTCGATAGCCATGCGCGCGCCAGCGATCATAGCGATGGATGAAGCTTGATCATTTTTTCGGCGCAGCAGCAGAGCCACTCTAGCCCCCACCGGCTTCCTCGCCGTCCTTCTTGTTGGCCTTGGTGGACAGCTTGAGGTGCACCCCCGGGTCGCCGCCGTTGCAGGAGCTCTGCAGCAGCAGCGAGTTGTTGATCACCTGCACGTTGCTGTTGACGAACGCCGTCAGCCCTTTGCCGCCCCCAGCCTGCTCCTTCCCGCTACTGACGACGACGCTGCCGTCGAGCTTGTGGCCGCGGCGCTCCTTGCTGCCAGCCGCTGCGTCCCCCCTGCCGTCAGCCACGGCGCTGCTGTCTACCTTCATGGACGCGCCCTTGTTCTCGCCGGCCAGCGTGATGATGGTCGTTCCCGCCGCCGCCGAGCCAGCGCGTTCGTGGCCGCCGCCGGTCGACGGTGCCGTAGAGCTGAGCTTGTGCACCATGTCGGCGACGCCCGCCTTGAGCTCCTTGTGCAGCTGGCTGCCTTCCTTCTCTTTATCCTTGTCCTTCTTCTCTCTGTGATCCTTCTCCATCTCCTTGTCCTTCTTATCTTTGTGATCCTTCTCTTTCTCCTTCTCCTTCTCTTTATCCTTTTCCTTCTCCTTCTCTTTCTCCTTGGCTTTTTCTTTCGCCGGGGCCTTGGTTTGTGTCTTGGATGCTACAAGCGGTTCATGGATGGTTTTCTCTTGCGGAACGGTGATGTCTTTTTGCTTAGGAACATTATGCACGATAGGATTAGGACGAATAGGAGAAGGCGGCTTGTTCTCTCTGGCAACCAGTACCGGTGCCGGCTCCGGCGCTGGAGCATTGGGCTCTCGAATGGGCGAGAGTGGCGGAGCGCGGGAAGGCGACGGGGACGGCCTGCTGGACAGCCGCGTCGGCTGCGGCTGGGCCGGTGGAGCGGGGCCACCACCACCGCCAGCGCCTCTGGACACCGGCGTCCCCGCCTGTTGCGGGAGCGACTGCCGCCGCGACGGCGACGCTGTTGCTGTTGCAGGAGGCGGCGATGGCGGCTGCGGTGCCGGGCGAGATTCCCGCCTCGACAGCTGCGGGCGGACGGCCGGCCGAGGAGCAGGCGCGGGCGGCGGCGGCTGCGGGGGCGCGGTCCAGTATGGGAACCAGTACCGCTGCGCCGGCGGCTGCTGGTCGTCGTCAGCCATGCTGCCTGGAGCCCGGTGCCCCGGTGGTGCTGGACGATCCGCTTTGGTCAGGAGATGTTCGAGAGAGCGCGGTGATCTTGACTGGTTACAGACTACAGAGAGACGCGTTGCAAATTGCAATGCCGGGCGCTCTGCATTTATAGCTGAGGAAGGATTCACTGGGAGAAAAAGCATACGCAGCACACAAAACAAGAAACCCATATAAACATCTAAATTTAAAATGGGTAACAAGATATTTAAAATCAGTCTCTAACAGACTATCTAGAAGGCACAATCTAAATATGGGTATCCTTTTCTCTGAAAAACCATTTGCAGAAAAGATTTTTTTTTTTCGATTTTATTGTTGGAGAAAATATTAAATAGGCATTGAACTTTTTGTTTATAGCGCTACCTAAACGACGAAAGGATCCTGCATTTTAGTTGTTGTCGTTGGAGACAGGCTAAGGCAGCCTCTCGATGCATTTCCGGCATCTGATTCTGCGTCCTCTTTCTCCTGCGTCCGTTGGCGCTTGCTCGTTGATCACGACAAGAAGGGCTACGTGTGTGTTCCTTGCTTTTGAGGTCCTCTCACTCTGCGGTTAACCTGCTGCCAACGCTTGGAATATATGTCAGCGTTGGTGAATAAAGGGCATTCCTCCGCTGAAGTTGTATACTTTTTTTTTCTCGCCGGCATAATTTTCACCTGTGTAGAAGAAAAGCAAAGATGTGCAGTGCATGGCACGCTTTAACGGGAATGGAATTCTTCTGCTTTTATGCCAGCAGATGCTACGCAGTACTGTGATATATTTTTTTTCTCTCTGATGAAGAAAAGCTGAGGGGAGTTTCCCACGCAGAAGTAAAAGAAGCAGTAAAATTTTCAACCCGAAGATCATGAAAATAATATGATATTAAGCCACCAGACACTATAGTCTACTTTTATCTTGGCAACATGCTATTTTAAGCCATAATAATGAGATAAGCAAACATGATATTACATATATATATATAAGAGCATCAAAGCAAGCATAAATAAAGAATACTGAAATACAAATTTTACTTAATTCAAGTACGTAGTTCAAAATAAAAATAGCAGGTGAGCTACTACCACTCTAAAGATCAGTACAAAATTTGTATTTCAGTATTCTTTATTTATGCTTGCAAACACACACTCAGTCCTTAAGCTATTACCATGGTCATCTACCGGTAATTTTAGATTACTATAGACATCACATCATTTTAACAAAATAACTAAAACACCACCGGAATAGTTTGATCTTATTATCAGGAAACGAGTTGCTTTATGAAGTCATCTAATGGTAATTTTAGATTACTATAGACATCACATAAAAAATCCACATTTTGACAAAATATCGAAAACACCATCGGAACACTATGATCTATCAGGGAACTAGCTGCTTTGTGAAACAACTTTCAAGCTTGAAAGAGACAAATCGCCTTTGTTTACAAAAGATAAACCATGTAAAAAATAATAATGATGATCCATGGTATTTAAGAATAGAAGCTAATGTCATGTTTGAAGTATAATTTTCACATTAAAAATAGAATAAAATACATGTTCTTGTAAGACCACAAAACTCTGTTCCAAAACAAATGGCAAGACAAGCAATTAACTATTGTTTAAAAAATCAACAAAAAGGATTGGAGTATTGAAAATTAAAGTTAGTAGTTCTCTTTAGCTGTGCTAAAGATCACCAGTAACATCTAGGGCAAACACCAAACGTACAAAGAAAAAGAATGAGCTCCTTTTTGTTATCTACACACAAATCGCAGTGTGAGTTTCAGGGTCCAAGTGGATATTCAAGTAACTCTGTTCATTCTCCCTTCACCTACTAAAGATATGGAGTGCACAATAATAAGAAAACCAAAGCCCTTACCTTGATATGGAGAAACATGCATCTTACCTCCTCATAAGAGCCTACTACACTTGCCAGTCCAATTAGAAGGTGTTTGTACTCACCAATATGAGCTATCACAATTGCATCATATTCACCATGAGGCTTTTCATTCTCAAACAAGGGCCGGAAAGCCATTGAAGGACTCAATTTTGCTTATCCAACAAGGTTGTACAACTTCAGCCATATTAGTATGTAGTGAACAATGTGACATACAAACAGCAACTTAACGAACATTCGTTGACAAGGGAAAGAACTAAAAAGTACCCAAATCAAAACAAGCCTCTAGGGCAGGATACATTTGCATTGTTTGGCGAATTCATGGTCCAAGTAACTAGATAGTAATGACTATGGATCACTTCACACTACATTTCCTTGGGCCTTTGTATAGGTGGAGTTGATTAAGTATACCTCAAGAGCATTGCACCTGTAAGTGGGTGCATCCCTTAACACTGATGTACCTAGGTGTCACTATGACTCAACCTATAAAATGTTTTTAAAAAAGTAAACCTCAGTATAGCTATATTGTGACATAAACCTTAGTCGACTTCATAGGCTTCCTTCATGAAGCACTTAGCAGAGTACAAAAATAGGAACTCAAAATTCAACACATTTTATCATGTAATTAGAGCTCTAAGGGTCTATTGGGTTCAGCTATGAGCTATGAAAAAACTGTTGTGAGCTAGTATGTGCTATGAAAAAACTATAAAATGATCGGTTAAGACAACTATGAAATCTACCCCTTCTCTTTATCTTCCTTGAAACACCTATAAAACTTCACTACAAGAAATATCCACTTCTATGACGAAAATGCTAATGACGAATCCGAAATCATCATAGAAGATTGCTTTTTATAACGAATATTTCTGTTTCATTATAGATTAGTGGTGACGATCCTGCAACCCTCCCTTTCTATGACAAAATCAGGCATCATCACAAAAACCGTCATAGAAGAGCGTAGGGTTTCGTCACAGATCACTCGCGCGACTCATCTGTGACGATCTCGTTTAAAGCTATGACGAACAAGGCTTCATCATTGAACTAATTACACATCTATGACGGACAATATTTGATCTGTAATGAATGGCTTCATCATAGATCTCCACACTGTACTTTTTCCATCCGATGTGTACCTGTGGGACCTGCAGTTACTCATCCGTGACGCTTGTAATTCGTCATAAAAGCCTCTTCTCGATCCTTTCTCCATGCGACGTGTACCTGTGGGACCCTTCTCCATCTGACGTGTACCTATGGGACCTGTAGTTACTCATCTGTGACACTTGCAATTCATCATAGAAGTCTCCGCTTGGTCCTTTCTCCATTCGATGAGTACCTACGGGGCCCTTTAGCATCCGACATATGGGACCCAATGGCTTACTTGTTGCGTGTACCTGTGGAACCCTTCTTCATCTCCATCTGGACCTGTGGGACCCGACGGCTTGTGTGTCACGTGTACCTTTGGGACCTGATGGCCAGTGAGACCTTTCTCCAACTCCATCCGACCTGTGGGACCCGATGGCTTGCGTGTCACTTGTTGCCACTAGGGTTTAATAAATTAAAATTAAAAAAAACATGAGACCTGGGAGTCAAACCCGGGACCTAGATCAAGGAATAGACTGTCTTTACCATTGCACTAGACACCTGGTTGTGTTGATATGTCTTTAGAGTCCTAATAGTAGTATATGTTCTATGTATGGATAGGTTGACTTATAAATTGGATTCATCCCCTACAAGTGGAAATAAATCTATGCCCGTTGGACTTGCGACGGCGGCTACGGAGGATTCCCAGTGTGTTGTGGTGACTTAGGCGTCCTTTTGGAGGCTAGGCGATAGGTCTTCTCAGAGGAGCGTGGCGGCATTGGCGTCCGTGTCCATCGTGTGCCGCGGCAGAGGCGACAGATCCAATCCACAGGTCTCCTTTCTTGCCTTTTCCTACCTTCACTATTTTGGTCCTTGCTTGAACATGAGGTATACAAGAAATATTGTAGCGTTGCAGATCTAGTTAGGCTAATGCCGATGAAAAGAACTAGGAGGTGGCACTGGTTGGTTTTCTGCTGGTGTCTTGGTTTTCTGCATATGTTCAGTGTTCTTACTGTAAATGCATGTGTGCAACTAGGCCTGTTAATTGTCAAGTGCTTGCTTGATTATACCTATCTATCTAGGCAAACATACAGGCCCTTCGCTTCTGCCTTAAACTATTTTTTTGTCCAGTGCTTGCTTGATTCTACATTTCTGTTTCGTATGCTCCAGTGCCACCGGTGAGTCCTTATGGTATTTTGAACTTGTAACATATCTGAGGCCACATTTCTGTGCCAATGGTGTCTACATGGTTGTTGGATGTATTAGGATGCAACTCATATGTTTGCTTTCTATGTCTTGTCCTTGTTGACAACCAAGTTATCCATTTGATTCTGAACAAGAGGAAGGCATCGAAAGCAAATCAATGCTTTGTGTCTATCATTCACATCACTGAGGCCAATAATGTTTAAGCTGCACATGTTGCCACTGATGCCAATGATGATCACTACCACTTGTTCACAAACATTCAACTTGTGAAAACTGAGGAAGCTCAATTAACTGCTGAAATTGTAATAGTTATAGCTCCATTAACTGCTACTCTAGTTTAAGTTATATATATCTATGTGGTGCTACTCTAAATTTGCATGAGGTCGTACTATGAAAATTGTTAATGGTTGTTCAAGTTGCACTTTGGTATGAGTTGTGGACTTCACTAATGGATCTTTGTTGGATTATTTTCCTCTTCAATGATCTCATTACTGAGGAAGCTCTCATCGTACTGCACACTGACGAAATGGAGGAGGCCTCCAATAAGAGGAACCCACTGGCTAGCCTCACAGAGGATGTCATTTTCAAGATCCTCCGCCACCTCCCCGCCCGCTCCTTGTTCTGCTAGAAATGTGTCTGTCGCTCCTGGAAAAACCTCATCGAGGACCCCAACAACCATAAGAAGCTGCCCCAAACTATGGCTGGCTTCTTCTATGACAGTGAGAACGGCAATTGAAACTTCACCAGCGTTGTCCGTGGTGTACGCCCCGCTCCTTAGAATTCTTGCCCTTCAACATTGACAATGTAGCTCTCTTAGAATGC